CCGACACACACACACATGAGATCTGACTGCCTCATTCCTAGTCTGGGATCCCGTGAGCACAGGACAGTGCGCAGAAGTTGCGTCGCTGGAGACAGCATGGACTCCTGCAAAGTGCTGAAAGGAGCAGTGAGTGGCTTTAGGTCTGGCACAAACGTCAGCTTCTCCACCCAACAGCTGTATGCAGCCTTGGATAGACACCTCTGTGCCTCAGTTTCCTCTACAGTGACCTCTACCAGACCCTATACATACTGGTTTTTCCTACACAGCAGGTCCATGAATAACACTGTTTTGTTCAATGTCCTTTCATTATAATGTTGATTAGAAGCTGTAGGAACTTAACTGTTGTTGGTATAAATAAGCTTGTGGTAAACTGATTTCCTTAAACGCCAGTTCACTGAAAGTCGTAGAACCTATTGACGACGTTGAGTGAGAATGTACTGTACTCACCTTTTCACCCAAAGGAAGCACTTATGGCATCTCTTTGGCAAATTGGAATTGTCAGCATCACTGCTCTTGCCCTTTGGGACGCTATGAAGTGAAATAACAGTGACTTACCACAGGCACTGCGATACTGTGAGTCACTCTGACACTAAGAGCCGCTACTCAGTGACCAAGGGGCGGGAAGCATCTACTGCTGGAGACGCTGTGTGTGTGTGTGTGTGTGTGTGTGTGTGTGTGGTGGAATGAGTCACAGCCAGGCAGGATGGAGCAGACTCCTGAGACTTCACCACGCTACTAAGAATGGCACACAATTTAAAACTTACAAATTGCTTATTTCTGGAATTTTCCACTTAATATTTTCAGACTGCGGTTGACCTCAGGTAACTGAAATCACAGAGGTAAGTAAAACTGTGGCTAAGAGGCGACTACTGTATCGCCACAGCAGTCATGGAAGCCACATCCACGCGTTACCCCCCAGAGGAGAGCAATGGGGGGGGGGGACAGCAGACCCACACGGAGCCCAAGTGGGAATGACACAAACAGCAGCATTACCCAGTTTGTGAGAGCCTGCTGGGGCCTAGAGAAGCAGGGTGCTCACCAACACCACCCCATCGACAGTCTCAGCTTCGTGTGATTCAAGACTCAGCCATGACTGTGTTAGAGAAGAACTGCAGCCCACAGTGGGGAAGGGGCTTGCCAGTGAGTAGCTAAATCCAACTCTGCCCCGCCTACCAGAGCTCCTTCTCCCCACCAATGCC